GAACGGACGAGGTAGGTAGCGGCAGCACCCGAGAATGTTGTTACTCTTTGTCCGGAGGCTAGAATCCAGAGGCTCAAAAGACAGGTGAAAGGAGAAACACCATGCGACAAAATGAAAAGAAATTGTGTCAAAAAAAAAAAAAAATCGAGCACGAATAGAAAATCAGGAAGGATGGGATCATGGGGATTTTTTTTTTTTGGCCAGCCACGCTGACAAGCTCTGCCTCTGCCTGAGACCTCGGTCCGATCCGAAGAAACCATAAGGACAAATAGAGACAGTCATTCATAGAAATAATAGAGAACCAAATAGACCAGACATCTGTCCATAGTGGTACAACAGGACAACTTCCACAGGCGGGTCTTAAGTAAATTCGGGCAAATATACCAGAGTGATCCTGAGGTCAGAGGTAAGGGAGAGATTCGGCCGCGTTAGATCCAAACAGGTAACACAATGCTTCGACCAGTCTTTCAGGTGTTTGCGAGCGACAGTGCTACTGAGAGGTCATCCAGTCCGAATTAGTGACGTCATCAGTTTCACAAACTTTCACTGCTGAATGCACACTACGGATGAACGAAGAAGGTGCACCCTCGTCGTCCTCTGAACCCCTCATGGGAGTTTCAGTCAATGGTGTGCTTAACCACATCACGATTTCCCTCTGAGATTCACCACAGCCATGCACCTCAAACAAGCTCCCGGCAGCTGGTTCCCTAAATATACCGGCAACTGTTAGTGGGTGGTGGGCTTCAGTAAAATCCCCGGTAGTCCAGAGCTAGCCGGCCGCGAAAAATACCAAAATCACGATAAGATACCGCGAGAACCAGAAAAAGATTCCCAACCGTTAGAAAAATAAACAAGGCTTCTAGCGGGAACGCAAACCACAGATCAAAATGACTATTTATTGAAGTTCTGTGGAGTTGTTTTTCACCCAGGAATAACAAAGCCTGGGAGATCTTCTATAGTTTCTTTTTAACATCAGAGCCGAGAGGATTGAATGCGAACTAACAACAGCCTAGATCGAAGTAGGAGCGTCGTTACGGATGTGATTATTTTCCACCAAAGCTGCAGTTTCCAAGAGCACTAAACTAAATGAGAATGAGTAGCCAACGCGGATGGACAAGAAACGTTTATGGACGACATTTCTGGCGGCAAACGAAGCCAGGTAGAACAAAAGAAAATAGAAAACAGACTGCTGATGCCAGGCAACGCTTGGCAAACATGAACAGTGCAAATGGTAGAGCCCAAGCGATAGCGACCAACAAGCAGCGAACAGCCTAAACATCACTCTAATAGCCCCGCGATAAGCTTGCATCGCGCATTGTCACCAGTGACGTCATCATCTGACACCACCGGACGAGCTGTGACGTCATTGGATAAGTGAATACTCAGTCGGTACACACTACACAGCAACACCGACAGACCGGTGTGGGTAGGAGCTATGAGCTGGGAGTGAGAAGACACACAGTGATCACCCAACATTCATAAAATACTGTCCTAAAATAGTACAACGGGCAACGGCAGACAGGGTCAGGGTTGTATACCAATCAAGTCGATTGAATTGATTGATTTGATTCAACGCGTATTTTGAGTTGATTGGATTGAGTCGATTGACTTTTCGAGATGACTGGTTGACTGACTCGTTTGACTTTAGCGACTGGTTGACTGATTTGATTCCCGAAAATTAGAGTGACTCGTATGATTGAGTCGATTGAATGGAAAGTTCAAATAAGTTTTAGTTGACGAAAAATAATGACACCAATTGATGACATCAAAGATCACAAAACTACACTGAAAACTGCTTGTCATCACAACTGCAATATGGGGTAGATGGCCAAATAAAGAACAGGGCCTAAACATGAACAGCCAACTTTGACTTTCAACTGCAATAACTGCTCCAATCCTGGTGATAGAACCTGGCGATGCACCTACCTACCTTTCTGCACTCAGCAGGAAACGCTTTTTTTAATCCAGATGATAAAGTGCAAGGCCCTATATAGGTACTGATAAAGTGTGATTAATTAATAATTCACATCTCCACATCTCCTCAGAAACAACCCACTGAACTCTATAAATATCTGAAACCCCTACAAAAATAACTGAAACAAAAGCGCCGTTTTCGTCTCGCTAATTACGTTTGCGTACCTAATTAATAGCTAATTTGCTGCATTGTTTAATTTGCAGCAGAACGTTTGTTGATCCTTTTCTCCCGGGAGCCTAAGCATAACATATTTAATATATTTCATTTTCCTTAAAATATTTTACCGAATATTATTAAGTGGTTTTATTTCAAATGAAATAATAATTAAAACGAAATTGGTGTTGTACAACCGATTTATTTTATGATGATCTACCATACTACATGATAATCAATGACGTCATCTTACCAAAAATCAAAAGACGTAGAATAAGGATTTATAAAAGCTTAGCATACTTATTGGCAAAACGTTTTCTTTGTTTTTTCGCAGTCGCACCGTGCCGTTTTCGCGTTTTAATTTTCCTTGTTCCTACTTCCTTTGTCCTTAACTTATCCTGTGGTTTCAGAGTCCCTGTCCTCTCCATTTCCTTTTAAATATATTTTTAATGCTCATCCCTATCCCCCAGTCCTAACAGTTTCAAATTGTATTGCAATAAAATGTTTTGAATTCTTCACATATAACCTATCTACCTTCGTTGGTACTGTTGGTAGCCAGTAACACATCTAGGCAGGTAAGTAGGTACCTACCTGCTTTCCTGCTGTCTTCATAAAGCATACCTAATGAAGTTGTCAAATTTTTAGCACATTTTCAACACTTTCATATGGTGTCAGTGTGGCATGAAACCTAGCTAGGTTCATTATGTTCAGGGTTCAATTCAGAAGAGCTCCGCATAACTCACATAAGAGACAGACAGGGGGCTTGTTCCAGCGCCTCCAGAAACCTCCAGAAAGCTCCAGAAAGCTCTAGAATCCTCCAGAGAGCGTTCCAGCGCCTCCAGAAAGCTCCAGAAAGCTCTCGCCAAAGCTCCAGAAACCTCCAGTAGCCTCCAGAGAGTTGGGAGGTCCAATTTTCTCTGGAGGCTCTGGTCTACAATTATGGCGCACATGTGACAATCCCGAATGTAAACAGAGGACTTTTGACTGATTATTTTACAACTTGAATGCAAAGAAAATTACATTGCTATAATTTTGTTAATGTTTCTAAATAAAATTGAAAACAAATTTTGCGTTTCAAGAAAGAACAATCATCATTCTTTTGGTATATGTGATGCCAATCTCCAGAAATCTCCAGATTGCGTTCCAGCGCCTCCAGTGAAACCTCTGGTAGAGCCTCCAGTCAAGAATTTCTACTGGAGGCGCTGGAACAGGCCCAGGGGCTTTACATGGGGTAGATGGCCTGATGACTTAGCTGGAATATGGCCAAAATTAAATTGACAACTTTTAGGTGAAAGGTGGTGAGTTGGGTTAAGGGGCGTTTGTTGAAGTCAACTACTGGGTTATTTTGCACCCATTAAATGAAACTTCTGCTCCAATTCTACCCATTGAACCTCAATATCATGATCCACCTGTCCATCACTAGGTATCCTTCCTTATTACATAGAAACTTTGAATGGCATGGCAATTTATAATTTTAAATGACAATATTTTTATGCTTCTTCTGTAGGTAGGTAGGTAGGTAGGTACACCAGACTGCTATGGACACTTTTCCAAGTTGGTGGGGCAAAAAAAAAAACCTAATGTATGTCTTGGTTTGAGTCGTTTGATTGAGTTGATTGATTCCTTTCATTGTCGCGTTTGAGTCGATTGAATCAATTCCCGAAAACTGCTCTGACTTGATTGATTTGATTGGTTTCCCAAATTTGTCGTGATTGAATTGATTGCTATTGATTGAGTCGTATACAACCCTGGACAGGGTGTCGACCCAATAACTATAGGTCAGAGATCAGTGATCCCAGCGTCTGTCGCCTGCAGAAAGGAGTAGCCATAACCAATACCAGCAGCATAAACCCTTGGAAGTACCAGAAACATTAGCTGCAGAGACAGGCGAATGGCAGCTCGACAGTGACTCAGGCTACGACTCATCACTAGCACAGTTGGGTTGCGTAAGAGTGGAGAGGATACATCGAATGCTCCTCTCCGGGCGGATAGGGGAGCGGCCAACAGCACGTTGCCATCAACAAAACAACGCGCGGAAACTGAAAAGGAAAGGCAGAGGAGCGGACGACTAAGGACAGAGGGAGGAGTCGCAGAAGAGCGGTGCAGAGACGGAGTGCAACGCACATCCTGATCTTGACGAATGCGGGTGGGGTCGGCCTGTGCACATTTCGGAGCCAAGTGCCAGTGCGAAGGGCGTACCCGGTTGGAGAAAAGAGGTGGGGAGGAGAGAGAGCGCTCGCCGCTGCAGACAGTCTCAGTTAGGCGGGGCGGACAGTCTCAGCCGCTGCAGACAGTCTCAGTTAGTCGGGCCCGGTATTGACGCGGCTGCAGTCTGCCGCTCCGTTTGTAAACACCATAATAAACCGGCCATCAGGTGAGATACGGTCTCGTTCTGTGTGTATCACACAAACCACTGCCACACACCAAACACACAGCAGAACGGAGCGCCCCCCCCCCCCCCCCCGGAGGCGGCGGCGGGGGAACGGCAGCGTCTACAGCTGGCTGTACGTGGGGTACAGTGCTGGCGGGATAACGTGCTGAACGTCGTAAAAGCGTGGTTTACAGGGGTGGTTTGACGACTAAAGTCAACACAGCTGTGCGGGGTGAGATCGTGTTGGCACAGGCATAGTGCCAACAGCCGCTGGTAGGCAAAGGATCGACTGCCATAAAAACAAGAAGACTAGGTCGAACAGCATAGAGGGATGAACGTTTGACGCATCTAAACAAACACACACCATCACAAAAGGAAAGTACAAGTGGCTGTCACCTTGCGCATATCTGACAACAAGCAGAGGCAGAAGTAGCAGAACAACCCCGCCAATACAGAGTCCAAGATAAAGACAAGCTAGCGATAAAGTTTGACTGCACTTACGGCTTTCCTCCGGGTCCGGTGTGGCCATTGGAGGGGATCGGAGGCGCGCGTACCGGTCCGTGGGCGTCGTAATTGACCTGCTGGGTCACAGAGGGGTCACCAGGTCAGTCGGGGTCACACACGGGGTCACACATCGAGCGCTGGTCATGACACACCACATTTAAACACACAAAAGCTAAAGCTACAAAACCTCCCCACAAACACGGTGGGGAGAATGACTGGTGAGAGGTCAGCGATCGGCAAATATTGCGAATGGTTCGTCCGTCCCCTTACAAAGGTTCATTTCATCGTTCCATTTTGCGTTCCTGACTTTTTTAAAACTCGCTCTTCCTCGCAGGGCTCCAGCGCGTGCGTTATTCTGAGCAACATTTTCGCGCGCGGCCGCGCATTTTCCCCGCCGTTTGGCCGAATTGGCGCGCTCCAACTCAATCTCTTCTGGGCCCTCGCGGGCACGCAAACAGCCGCCACGGCGCCGCCCCCGGCCATATTGGCGGCGCGCGGCCCCCAGGGTCCCGGGGCCATCGGCGGACCGGCACCGCCGGCAGAGCGCCCGCAGCCAGAGAGCAATCGATTCCACCCGCTAAGAACTCATTCTCCTGCCGCCCTCCTGGCTGCTAAGAAAGGCGACGAATTATTCATCAGGGAGCCGCTAGAGGCGAGGGAAAAATTGAATTTGGCGTGCAGATGAAGACGGCAAGATGGCGGATAGAGCTGCGGGAAATAAATGAGGCAGTGAGGAAGAGAAAGGGGAACGAGGGAAGCAGCCGCATCGCGCTTCCAATCTGGTGCCTCCGAGCTCTGACGGCTTTCCAAATGAGGTGCCACAGAGTAACTTATGAGAAAAGCGCCTGACGGGTAGCGCGGTTACTTGAGGAATAAGTATTACTGTCATCAAAACCTACAAAGACGTTTGTGACTCCCTGCAGCTATAAATGTCACAACACCATCAATCTTCCTCTAATATGCGCTGCAGCGCCACGGTTGTAAGCATTTGTTTAAACCAGCTCACTTGGCAAACATAGCACCGCTAGGGCTGCACACAAAGTGTTCCTAACGACACTGCATTCACCCGGGCGCCCTCCGAGGGTTCCATATTCCACCTCACCTACCGTCGGCGTCTAACAAACATCGTACTGGACCGGCACGTGAGGTTTCACTCTAATCACCCCCAAAGGACAAACACTCGCCTCCCTCAACACACACTTCACAGTCAAGGCGGCGCGGTGGAGCGAGGAGTGTAAAGCACGCTCTCAGCTATATGTATAGGACGTGAAAACCCGAAGCCTGGCAGCGGAACCGGCTTTGTGTCCGAAAGTATGCTAGCATGAATGTGGAAACGGCATGATTTTGCGAGAGAAAATCACTGAGTGTCACCATCAGACGCGATACCCGCTCTTCCCCCTCCACAGAAACCTCCATTCCTTGGGGTAACTCATCCTTACCCATCCTGGATCTTTTACTCCCCGGGTTCACAAAGATTACTGCAGTTAGTAAAGGATCGCTCTTACTCCCATAGCACTCTCCCTCGTGAGTTCACTTACCGGTGGTCCGCGCAGGTAGCCGGGTGCCATGGGCGGAAAGCCAGGCGCCGCGCCGGCCGGCAGGTCAGGTCGCTGTCCGGGCGCCATGTACGGAGGGTAGCCCACGCCCGGGGCGCCGGCCGCCGCCGCCTTCAGGCTGCCGTTGGGCGCCGATGTGGGCGTCAGGGACTTGCTCACCGGCGTGGTGGGCTTGTCGAGCTGAAACGGTGCCCACACACTGAGAGGGGACGGGCACGGAGCACGGACGTAGCGCGGGGGGGATAAACACTAAACAACCAGTTAATATCGTTACACAGAGTGAAGAAAGAGGGAGAGAGCCATAACGACCACCAGTCACGGCACACAGCTGATTGACACGAAAACAACGACACACGGTTAACCGCACGCGAAATATGACTGCCAAACACGACATATAATTCACTCTGTGAAAATCCCAAGATAGCCACATAATAAGCGCATCATAATTGGATTCATTGGTTTTTCCGCACGCCATTATTCAAATTGCCCGTGCGGAAAATAACGACGGCGGAGTGGCGGCGGTTTTCGCCACCACTCGACATTTCACAGGAAATATCGTCGCGCCACGGAAGAAATATGGGGCTCACCAAATGACTTGCTAAATCGATGCTACCGTTGCAAACGTCTCCAAATGCATTACTATAAGTGGCCGGGGCCGGTCGACCCCTATGGTGTACTCAGAGGCACTCGTTCACGGCAACTAGCCGCCACAGTTGAGCGGCCGACGGCGCGCTGAAGTTTGCACAAATGCGTCTCTGCCGTGCGAGGGTTGCTGGGGCCGGGCTGTGCAGCGCCCGGAAGCAGACTCGGGGTCCGAGTCACAGACCCAGGAGCTGGGACTGGTTTGGGTAGCAGTCTCGCCGAATGAATCGTCTAAAGAGAATGGATGATGTCCACCAGCGCATAAATTGTCCATCACTCACGAACAATATTCTTTGCTTGCGTTCAACTAGCACAGTGATAGCGTTACTTCTAATGCTTCATGCTTCAATCTATGCGCTCTTGTGCTGCAACATATGCCCCAATATGCGTGCTGTACCTATCTCTAATGTTTGGGAGGATTTTATATCAATGAGGCTCGAGCGTGAGCTGCTCGAGAAATGAAAAAAGATTTTTACTTGAAATAAAGGAGTCAACATGAAGTGTTAAACCGAACATGAAGTGTTAAGAGTGTTTAAACCGTTATTAAGTACTTAGCAATTTAAGCTGGTTTATTTATTAAGTATCACATTTATTTAAGATCTAAGATTACAAAACACAACGCGAGGATAGCAAAACTATAATAACATCTAATTTCACTTGCATCATCAAGCCCCCAGCTGGCCGGTATCGGTGAACCGCACAACAGGCGTTCCCCTGTTTAGCTTCCTCCCGCCCTCATCCAGTTATAGGGGTGTGTGGCGGGCGTGCGACACCAATTCCCACTTCCTGCACGAGTGGTGTGCGCGCTCCACGGCCTGGCCCCCCGTGGTGGGCACTGTGCACTGCAGCGGTGGCGGCAACAATGCACCATTGGCCCGACACGCCGTCGTGTTGAGCAGAACCGATCCGGAGGCACGAGCTGGTAAGGGCAGACAGGAAGGGGGAGAGGAAGCACCGAGCTCGATTTGGAACGGTTCGAGCTAGCGCCTGTTCAGGGAAATCAGAAAAAGGAAGTCGGAAGTTCGAGATGGAAAGGGATGGAGTTGATTTGGCAAGGAATAGACAATAGAAAGCGCGAAACTAAGATATTGTATAATAATTCAGAAGAAGGAGAAACTATGGTAGAGAGCTGGCACATGATCAGAGCAAAACACTGACATGGAAAACACCAATGGACGGCACTGACTTAGGGGTCAGGTCAATGAAGGTGTTGAACCGAAGACAAAGGTCAAGCCAAAGGTCGGACCATCGCCCTCACGACTACTGTGTGCCAGGTAGTTATCGCCAAACATATTCCCCTTTGTTTGTGTACGGGACCCGCGGTGTACACACTCTGTCGGCATGGCCGGCGCGGCGGGGCGTGGGTGCTGCATTTTTCAGGTAGACTAACGAGGCTCGCGCCGCTGCGTGTTTGGCGGCGGCAACCGGGATCAATAGGTCGGTCCCGCAGGGGGCACACCCACGCTTCAGCGCAGGGCACGATGTATACAGTCGAGGGTTCCTCCGAGAGACCAACGCGCGATCCGTGATGAAGGGATGGCGTGGCGAATGGAAGCGTCAATGGGTCAGCACCAGAGGGCGTTCGCCGGCGGCAGGCACAAAAACCCACGCTGTGTACTCTGATAACTACGCGTCAGCTCGGCAGGGTCCACGGTGTGACGTGTCCGTTTATTGCCGAAGTCCATTGGCACAGCGGCATAACGCTACCGAGTCAACACTGCAGGGGCAATCTTCGTCCGCTCTTTGCGTCAGCCACTTGGCGAGGTCGTTAGGCACACCCATCGCCGCATGTTGGCAGTGAAAATACGACCGGTCCCCCTCCCCCGGGCCATGGGCAGGTCGACGTCCACCACTCGCTGCGCCCATCAACCTCTTCGCCTATCGATTCGGCTTTGTTGGGGAGCGTCGGGAGGGGAACGTACTGCGTAGACCCTTCCCAAACATCATCACCGTCCGACGGGTGAGACACAGGGTTGTGTGTGTCCACAGAGCGACGCTATGTTCCTGACCACGCTCTTCCCTGAGACCAGGGGGCGGCTCGCTGGTCGCCAGCCCCGCTCCGACCGGCACAACAACCGACATCGATCGATGCCGAGGTCCCGAGAGGGCCGACCCGCCGCTGAGCACGGCCTATCGCCCTCGATCGCATTTCGCACTCTGCCACACCAGTTATCTGGCGGAGGAACACGCAGTGACGCGGCCCGGAGGCAGGGACGAGACGTCCGTCCGCGATGTTGGCGGGGTGAAACGATCGTTAAGCCGGATGACCCTCCTCGTCGAGGTCCGGCGGGCCGAGACGTCATGTGGACAGAGAGGTTTAGATCCTCGCTGTGATCCCGGGAAGGGAGAAGCACCTCAGAGGGCCGATACCGCGGAGAAGTACCTCGCGGGGCAGACATCAGTCAATCAGCTCTTCCCAAGGGCTGTCAGGACACTGTTTGACTTGACAAGAAAGCCATCAAAGCACCCTTACGGCAGGGAATTAGGGGTCTGGAATGGACGAGCACCGTCTGAGCTTATCCTTCTCGAGACGTTGGTCGGACATGTCTACCGTTCCATCAAGCCTTCAACTCCTTTAGCATACTACAGAGACATTATGCCACATAGCACACACATGAACTATCGTGTCCGACTCTCCAACCTCCGAGGAGTCCTGTTCGATCCCCTACCGGACTCAGCACAGCCAATATCGACACCTCTCTGTCCGTCACCGGGACGGTAACACACGGGGAACACGCCGCGCGGTGCTCCCTGGGGAACACCTCAGCCCCACCGGGTCCTGATGGTGATTGGGTCTACAGCGGCGGCCAACCCGACCACTCGCCGTAAACGTCACAGTGCGAAATCCGCCGGGTACGACCGCCATATCCGGCGCCGGCCGGTCGTAGGAAGGTGGCGGGGTCCAAACGGCGGCCGCCGGGGTCAGGCGGGGACTATTGGCTGCTCCAACAGAGACAGACTCCATTTGGAGGCTTTGTTGACCTGGTATTGAACGCCGGGAGGGAGGGTGTGCTCCCGGGGGTGGGGGTGGGTACCGACCCAATGCAATCACCCCCCCTCCTTCCCCCTGAGCAGGCCACACAGCAGGTGGTGTGTGCCCGGAGCGTTTTCATTAGTAAAACAGACCGTGGACGCCGCGTACACACGGGCTATCGCCTGTGGCGTGTGGTAATCGCCCGCACAAATAGCCCCGGGCGGTGTCCACACGGGGGGGGGGGAGGCACCTGCCGCAGGAGGGGAGGGGGGGGGGGTCACCAATCATGGTGACACCCGGCTGTATTCGCACCACGGCAGGTGACACACGCTTCCTTTGTCCATATCGACAGTGATTTGTGTGCCGTATTCATTAGAACATTTTTGATAATAGAAATGTGTGTCAAAGGCTGCTATAACCAAAATAATGGGACACATCTAGTTATACCCTAAATAATGAAAATGCAATACAACCCCAAATAAAGTATTATCAAAATCAAAACAAACTTTTATATGCAGCCAATAAGCAAGGATGCATGGCCACCAGGCTACCAATGCCACGAAAACAGGGCTGTGCACCCATTACAGAAAAGTGACGAATTGCCATCTGCAGCCGGCCGATGCAATGCCTCATCAACCCCACCCCGAAATCACTGCGCGTCCGGAGCGATTGTGGCCGCAGCCACCGTCGCTACCCTACAGCGCTGACTCGCGTTCCTAAGGGGACACGCGACGCCATTAAAGAACACTTATCGCCGACGGGTGGGTTAACACTGCGGCGATGGCACCCAACGGATTTACGAGTGTAGGGGAGCCCCGACTCTGATCTGGGAGTCAGAGCGACGGACAGATCAGACACAGAAGTGCTGTGTTCGACAGAAGGAAACGAACACGACAGACAATGTTGAACACGTTTGCAAGAACATCAACAAGCTCTGCTTATCACTTACACAGAGACAAGGACACGGCACAGACCAAGGTGCTGCATAAAAAGTTGAGCCGAGGATACAACCAAAGGAAACAAATCATACAAGTGATCGTAGGAGAAACATGTGATAATGTGCATATGAAGACAACAGCTAAAGATAGACCAAACTGCACAAGAAAACAGCTGCATAGGCGCCGGAAACCACAACTGAAACAAGTTCCTCAACACTGCCTCAGAAAGCAACGCTCGTGACTTTTCCTCAAGACCACCACAACTTCCTCTGGGTTGGCTTCCGTTGACAGATAGCGGCACAGCGACTATAAATGATACACTGCACAACCGGAGGTGTACACGGAGTCACAGGGGACGGTACACTAACCATCGGAAAGTGTGCGTTGTACCAGAGGAAGCGCGTACTGCATTACAGACCACACATCCCTTCCAGATATGCTCACCTCCCACCCCTCACCCCAACACCACCGTCCGGGGCCGCCACTTACCGACTCTTTGCGGCTGAGGCTGGGCGTGCTGCGGCTGCTGCTGCTCTGACTGGGAGGCCGCTCTCCTCCGGGAGGGGGCTTTCGGTCGTCGGAGGATCCAGCACCGGCCGCGCCGCCGCCGCCGCCGCCCGGTGCACCGTTCCGCAGGTCCGAGGGGCGAGGCTCACCGTTGTGACGTGGCGAGGTGTCGTCAGGTCCGGCGACGTCTACCACCAGATCTTGGTCGGACTTTTCGTTGTCGGACTCGTGATGCTGTCGGGGAGAGGGCGTGGTCAGAGAGGCGGTACGGGGGGACACGGGGAAGGAATTGTACCGCGCCAATGGGTTGTCAGTTCACCGCGTCAGCAGATAAAACGAAAGGTAGGGAGGGACAAAAAGACGTCACAGAAAGAGGCGAAAGCAAGACGACAGTTGGGAACGTAGACATCGTGCTCATCACAGCGAAATTGAAACCAGAGAATCCACCAGGATTTTATTGGTATTATGATGGGTATATATTTATATATTTATTTATTAAAATGCCACACTGGACAGTGTAACGGTAAATCCACAGCAAGGAGCACCTCATGCATCCTAAAACCTATGAACGATGGCTGAAAGGGCAAGCCACTCGCAACAGCACTCGTCAGCGTAAGTGCAGCTCCAAAGACGGTTCAACAGCAATACCATTACACTTATGTGGGTACGTACTACGTAGCTGGAGAACGCTATCAACATTTTACAAGACGTCTTTCAAATAAACCTTGTAAACATGAAAAGGATTTAGGAGTCATATGCATTACAACAAACAAGGTGGTGTGGGCTGGCAGCAAAGGAAATAAGCTCAAGGTACAGCGACAACAGGAAAAACGCAGCAACATGAACACGCTTGAAAAGCACGAACACGTGTTATCTACTTTTTACCAAACTTAGACACATAAAATGACATTGAAAACAACAAAATGTCACGTTTTATCCACTTAAGAAAGCTAAAAGATAGCCCAACACATGTACTGATAACTATGTCACATACATCACCTCACTGAATCGCTTCAACATCGGGCGTAAGATAGCAATGTCAGTCGGTTTGAATTCAAATTAATTGCCGCACTCTGACAGACAGAGACTGACAATCTCCAAGATCCAAATGCCTCACTCCTTCCAATCCGCCTGACATGCCACCCACCTCGCAATGTCACACTGGATAGACACAGCCATTTGTCTGGTTTAATCCGTGGCCTGTTTAACTTACGAGGTGCTGACCTTTGGAAGGCGCTCAGTGGAATACCATTTGTCTCATAAATGTCACGCGGCCGGTCTCACAAGTGGCGCTTTATCTGTCGCGCTGACAGACCGACATCGGGGCGAATCTGTCACACCACGCACACGCGATGACAGACGAACGCCAGCGAGAATCTGTCATTCTGACGCGCCGCGATGAGGCTCGATGACGTCCGATTAATGGCGACTTCATCTGCGCGACTCCTCGACGGAGTTTGATGGCCATCACTTTCAGCTCGACTGACGGGATATCGGCCCTCATATCACTGCCATCATGGCCGATACTTCAACTCTAATCCCGGCATTGATGACCCTTATCGACCGCTACCGTAAGATAGAGAGGCGTCACCACTTCAGCGCCTCTCGAAAGCCACCGCGCGGCGCCACCCATCTCGCACTCACCATGACATTTTCACATCGCTGGCGGATGAGCAAACAATCCCCGGGCCAAGGCTTCGTCACTCACCCCACGACCGCCTGGGCTTGTTTCATGTTTACCAAAGGCGTCTCAGCACATTTAAGCCGGCGGCCGACGGGCATTATCGGATACCGTCCGGTAAACATCGGTAACCCTACGCCGTCCAAATAATCCCCCCGTCGCGAGATCTCCAAGATAAACAGTAGCGCGTCCGCCGCGCGGCCGGTTAGCGCCGCGTGGTGCGGGCCGAACCCTCGGCTACTGACTCAGCGCACCACAGGCAAATGCGGCGCACTGGGTGACGTCACAGTCCACAGTACCGCAGCCAAACACGCAGAAGGGGTGGGCATTCCTCTAGCGGCCAGCGAGTCTCCCATTCCTCATCTGTCTTCCACTGACACGTAGACCGCGCGGTGCTCTCACATCAAACAGCTCGTATCTCAAGCAGAAGATGCTTCAATCTCCGCTGTGGCGTTACGCCCTCTTCAACTCTGAGCTCAAATCCCCACCATTCACAGGACGCCAGATGGGACGCCGGAGAATGGGAGCCATTCGCGGCTTCCAGCCGGAAAATGGATGCCGACAGCCCAATGACGTCACTGGGAAGCAGGCCGGCGCAGCGCTCAATGGACGCCGGTGTCACGTGACCAGACCTATGACGTCATAGGAGTCGAAAGAGATGAATACGCTCACGTCTGAGATGGTGGTATCCGCCCAATGGAATCGAAAATGAGAGACGGCTTCAGCTTTATGATTTGAAATGGACGTCATTGACGGATAATCTGACGTCTCGGCTGCCAAAAATTTCTCGAGAGATGATCTCTGTTCAAACTTCAGGCTTTACATTACAGTATAAACGAGCGAAAGCCAAGCCTTTCAATCAATCATTCTAAGCTAGCGATGGAATTACAATCGGCGATCTTCGAGTCTCAGCACACGTCTAAGCCCTCGTTGACGTTACAACGTGCATATGTTATGACCCCACGGTGCCACGCACACCTCCACCAGACAAGACAAGGTCACAGGTCACTGCCTAGTGCCTACGCTCCACTGGTCGCTGCCTACACTCTACTGGCCTACCGCGGGCGACCGCAGCATTCAGACGGTGGCCCCGCCGCCGCACTGACCACAGGAATGCGCCGTTCAGCCACAATGTGGCGCCTACAGCCTCTGAGACAGCCAGCTTCCCCGCCGCAGAGAGGTGGTTATACTTGGAGTAGGACCCTCGTCCGCAGTGTCGTGACTCAGGTCTACAAAGACACCCGTAGACGCCACAAAACACAGCAGTGGGTGACGTTACGTCAGGCTGGTGACGCCATAGTAGGAGATTAGGAGAATAGGTCCCCATGTCTGTGGTGCACCTAAAATCGCTGGCCGAATGGAAATCGATCACCAACTTGCAGACATTATGTGCTAGGCTAGCCCACCTGACTTTGTGTCCTTGTGTCGCCTAGTTTTGGGCATCAGATTCCAAGTGCGCCCGAAACAGACATTCACCCGTTTCCCACCATGACCTCTCCCAAACCTCTCCAGTCTATGCCCCACGCCTCCCAGCTCGGTGACACCACTGACCTCACGCTTGATGTTCTCCTTTCGCCGTTTGACCTCCGCATCCCGCTCGTCGGGGGTACGGGACCGCGGTCGGACGGGCTTTTCTCGGTCCCTGACGTCAGGGGACATGGATCTCCGCTGAAACAGGCAGAAAAAGAAGTCAGGCATGCCCACAGACATGCGGCGGCGACTGACCAACATCAGGGACAAGCGACTACTAAATCATGCAGATGTCACACGGCAATGAAAATTCGTGAAGTTCTGTAAATGATAAGCCGAAACTTATCCATTTGTGATGCAAACAAGTTATAACTAGCATAATTGAACCCTTATGGGATCAGTTATGATTTAATGATACGGACTGCGGATCACATCGCTAGGTAGGATGGGGGCGCAAGCAATTCAACGGCATGGAAGACTTCCTTGAGCTCGATTGAACAAGGAGCAGGTACATTCTGGACACAACGACCAAAAGACCAATAACATATGCAACGCCAATAGCCTGTGAGTTAAGCCAACAGCGTGAACCAGCCCTAATCGTTCTCATTCAAGAAACGCCACCTCCGGGTTCCCGCAGCACCTTCCACAAGGCCGACCCTCTAGGAATGGCTCCTGAAGAGCTCCTTCGCGGAAGTCATCATCCACAGCGACAGGGCTCCACTTTCGTGGCGCGGTGGCCGGCGACGCGGCTGTCTGGTTCCCAGTCGCGGTCGGCCCAATGGGTCAGCTCACGCAGGTCGACCACACGACCGCGGCTTTCGGCGCCGGCTCGTCACTCCCCGAGCGGTCGATCTGCGGTCGTCGACCACCCTTCGACGTGACGTGCACACAGACATCAGCGTTTCCGATGCGGTCGCGCTGTGGTCGCGTCACGGTTTCGGTCGCTCGAACGCCAATTACCGTTGGACATTTTCTGGGCGCCATCATGTGGTCGCGACGAGGTTGTTTGGCGGTTCATAGGCGGTTGTTTGGCGGTTCTCAGCAGCCACACGCCGCTCCATGCCGCTCACCGTTATTGCTTTGCACACGAAGTACCACGGTTACGGAGCATTCAGCTTGTCGATGGCCACCTCGACTACCCTGTCGGCCACAGAACGCCATCGACCCGAGCCGCTGACACTAATGTGCAGCCGCTGCCAACAGCTCGTTATTATTGACCACGCCCCGTAATGGGCGTGAGCTATTCAGCGTGGTCAGATGTTAATAGCGCCATAGACCGGGCGCGGAGCGGCGCCGCCAGCTCAGAGCTCATTAGCGGCACCGTGAGCTCCAGCGGTGCTCGGCCCGTGCGGTACCGGAGCGGCGGGATACTCCGCCCACAAAAACCCGACCCATCATCACAGCAAGCTATGGAGATCAGCCCGACCGGCGCACCAGTCGCAGGGCAGGGCCTCCCGAGAACCGACCCCGTCCCCGCCGGCAGCATTTCATACCACTTGTAGCAACACGGCACACATCTGTCGGCCTGCTCTGCCGCCATGTTCAACACGCCGCTGACGCCCTGCAGAGTCGTGTACCCATCAGCGCGCCGGGTCCGACCTCGCTCGGGGCATCTTGTACCCTCTCCCTGCACCGCAGAGCCGGTGTAGCTCGTTCGACCAGCTGTTCCCATCAGCGCGGTGCACCTCTCGGCTCAGATCTCAGCGTGCTGTGCAGCTGTTACAGTCATCGGAGAGCAACAGCCCGGGCCCGCACCGGTGCACCCGTCGAAAGCGCGATGTGCAACGCTACGTTACCACTGGGCGAGGTGCTACTGTCGTGTTACTAGCGCCGCCGCCGCGTTGCTCCAACCATACTCTCAGCACAGAGTGTGTTCCGGCCGTGTTCCCTGTATCTGTTGTGTTCTAACAGTAATCCTCAGCAACGGCTGAATTCTGGCTGTGCTCCCTGTGTTCAATCCGTGTTCCCCAGCCCCGGCTGTGCTCCAGCCGTGCTCTCTCAGCAACAGCCGAGTTCTAGCCCCTTTCCCATCGTCAGCTGTTCTCCAGCCGGCGTATTGCGACAGTATCCGTCTCAGTACCGAGGCCGGTTAGCTCTGAAAGCTGTCTCCCGACCGCCAACCGGTTCCCCGCGGCAGCTGCCGCCGCATCGGCCTCGAGCGGCCTCCAGAGGCCACGGAGGGCGCCCCGGCTGATAGCAGGTGAGCAGGCGCGGTGTCGGGGCGTCGCCGACATTCCACAGATTTTCCACAGAACGGCTGCGGGCCCCGCCGTCGCCGGCTCTGATGGTTCGGAGACGGCTACCCGCTGCCTCCTGACGCCGCCGCGCCTGACGATCGGCGAGACCCGCCAGTTCGGGCGACGGCTGCAGACTTCAGCATCACACTATGCTATTGGACACATTAACGCGCGCTCGCTGGCGCCCCGACTGAATGAGGTGTGTCATCTACTAGAGAGTGAGAGACTGCAGGTGCTCTGTATTTCGGAGAGCTGGCTGACGGATGATGTTCTCGACGGCGTTCTCCTCGTGCCTGGCTACCGGATTCACAGATGCGACCGATCTGGAGGCCGTCGAGGCGGTGGCGTCGCTATCCTTGTCTCCGAGGATCTCCGGGTGGCGCGACTGCACGACTCCAGCGACGGCGACACCGGCGTGGAGGCTCTGTGGCTGTCAGTCGGTGGTGCCGGCCGAGCTCAGGTTGTGGTCGGCGCCATCTACCGGCCACCGGGGGCGCTGACAGCCCGACTGCGTGATGTTCTGCGCGGACAGTTTGAGATGGCGCTCGCAGCGGGGAAGCCTGTATATATTCTCGGTGATTTTAATGTCAACCTTTTAGCCGGTGATTCAGCTGACTCTGTTCATTTTAACTCGCTTTTGCGTGATCTTAATATGTCTCAACTTATTACTGATCCGACACACCCACACCCAGTGCCCTCGCTTCTAGATCTAGTCATAACAAACGTCTCTTCTACCGACATGCAGGTCTCTGTCATGCCCCATCTCATTGCAGATCATTTCCCCATCGTCATTAGGCCCTTAGCTCCTAGACAGCGTCGTCCTCCTGTTAGCGTTAGCTCGCGCGCGTGGCATCGTGTTAACTGGCAAGCATTTTCTACCGATCTTTTACAAGCCAACTGGGGACCCTTTTACACTGCCGCTGACGTAAACGAGAAACTTGCGATTTTTGTACGTATATGGAACTCGGTAGCCGATGTGCATTGTCCTGTAGTGCAGAGAACCATGCGGCGTCCTGCCTGTCCCTGGCTGAGGGATGAGTTGGTCCGAGCGGCCATGGCGGAGCGGGACGAGGCGCGGCGAGCGTGGGCCGTCACACGCTCAGTTACTGATCATGACGTTTATAGGCGGCTCCGGAACCGAGCGAAGCTAGTTCTGTCTCGTGCGCGCAGGTCCTACTTAACAGAGTCTTTACACTGTGATGCGAAACATTTTTGGAATAGACTTAAGCGATTTGGTGCTAACCTATCTGCGAGAGGCTCTGCAGGCGCACAGCCACCAGACCGTGATGTGCTGAGCGCCGACCAGCTCAACGAGTATTTTGCCGGTGTCGGCGCTCGTGTGGCAGCTGAGGCCGCGCGGGCCGCGCAGGGGACCGAGACCCCCGCTGCCGGCCCGCGGCCTCCCAGGGTATGTGCGAGCGCCTTCGCCCCTCAATGCATAACGCTGCCAGACCTGATTCTGACCATCAGCCGGCTGAGTGCGTCGAGGGCTGTTGGGGTTGATGGCATTCCGATCGCTGCGATCAGAAGCTGTCTCCCTGCAGTCGGTCCGCCCATCCTTCACCTAATCAACTCATCCATATCCACCCTTACCTTCCCTGACGCATGGAAAGTTGCCATCGTCACACCAATCCACAAATCCGGTGACCCCAACCAGCCTGGCAACTACCGCCCCATATCCATCCTCCCATCTCTCTCCAAAATCCTTGAAAAGGTTGTGTGCTCTCAGCTCACCTCCTACCTCATCACTAACCACATCCTCTCCCCATCCCAGTATGCCTACCGCCCATCCCACTCCACTGAAGATGCCATACTCGACATTGTCGAATGGGCGGCTCGCAGGGTCGACGGTGGTGACGTTGCCGCGGTGACGTCAGTCGACCTGAGCAAGGCATTCGACAGTGTCGACCACTCGATGCTTCTGAACAAGCTCGAGTGGTATGGCATCTCATCCCGCTGGTTCAGCAGCTACCTCTCTGGCCGTTCCCAACTCATCCGCTCCTCAACGGCCCTCCCACTCTCCCACGGTGTTCCCCAGGGGTCCATCGTGGGTCCCATCCTCTTCCTCATCTTCGTCAACGACCTTACCTGCTTCCTCCCCCATGGCCGACTCATATCCTACGCGGATGACACCCAAATCCTGGACTCAGCACCCTCCAATCCCACTGGCATCCAAGTGCTGAAGTCCCGGGCCGAGGAGAACATTCAGCAACTTCAACGCTGGTTTAGCTTAAACAGTTTAAAAATGAATGGAGAGAAGACCTGCTTCACTCTTCTTGGCACTCAAAATTCAGTTGATAAAGTCAAAAACTTCACCCTTAACGTAGATGATGCAACTATTCGGCCAACAAAACACATCAAGGTGCTGGGTGTTCTCCTCGACCAAACCCTGAGCTGGGAGCCACATATATCCTCTATCGTTCGGCGGTCAAATGGAATCCTTATATCACTGTTCAAAATTCGCCATCACCTCTCCCCTGACATCCTTAAAATCCTCGTTCAAACCCACGTTTTTCCCCACCTCCAGTACTGCTCGTCAGTCTGGGGTGGTGCCTCCAAATCCCGCCTGCACCGGCTGCAGAGGACTATCCATCTCGCTGTACGGCTCGTCTCTGGTCTCCGCAAATTCGACCACATCACCCCCGCCCTCGGCGCGCTCGGCTGGCCCGGCATTGGTGAGGTCATCGCACGCCGTGACGCGGTGAACGTGCAACGCGCCTTGTACGCCGCCGGCGCCCCCGACTCGCTGCGGTCCATGTTTCGCCCGCGTGCCGCCGTCTCCAATAGAGTCACGCGGGCCACGGCTGCGGGCGCAGCTGTGCTCGACCTGCCGCGGGTTCGACTGGCGGCGACCAGGCGGCTGTTTTCGTATAGAGCCGCCGCTGCATGGAACGGCCTGCCGCCGGAGGTGAAGGCGACTGGTTCCAGGAGACAGCTGGTGCAGCACTTTAGATAGTGACT